AGTAATGAAGACCGGCTAGAATTATTGTTGAGTCGAAGATGACGGCACGTTTGCTGCACTCCACAAATAAACAAGAAGAAAACAATAAAAGTAGGGGTTAGTACAAAACACGGGTACTGAGTAGATATCATCGGCAGACTCAAAATAGATATCAATATATACCAAGTAATATCATAAAATCAACTATGATACTCAACATGTAGCAACAACAAGTACTATATCATTAACAATTACCGTCAAGTCCACACATGAGAACTCAAGCCTCAATACCATACTCATTTGGGAATTATGTTCATTAGATTGAGTGTATTAACATCTTTCAAGATTCATTATCTTTATTTCTCTTGTGTCAGTACGTGACACTCCGCTCCCTCATATTCATTAATACTCTTGTGTCGGTACGTGACACTCCGATCCCCTACTACTATGTGTCGGAACGTGACACTCCGATCCCCTAAATCTACGTGTCAGTTCGTGACACCCGATCCCCTTAATCTACATGTCAATTCGTGACAACCGATCCCCTAAATCTACATGTCAGTTTGTGACATCCGATCCCTTAAATCTACGTGTCGGTTCGTGACACCCGATCCCCTAATCTCCTTCTATCAATTCATCAAGCCTTCTTTTTTTCCAAGGCATCATCAATCACATTATTTTAGTTCGTCACGCCTTCTTTTATACCAAGGCCTCATCATTAACAAAGAGATTAGGGTTTTGCAAGATTTTGGGATTCAATAACTTCATCATGCTTATATTATCACAATTATATAATTATATTCATGCAAGCATACAATTAAGCACATAACAGGGTTTACAATATTATCAATACATATCATTCGCTATTAAGAGTTTACTACGAATATCGTAAGAGAAACCATAACTTACCTCCCCCGAAAACTAGTGATCAAGCAAGCAAATTCCCAAAGCTTTGTTCTTCTTCTCTCCCTTTTCGTTCGTTTTCTCCCTCCCTTATGCTTTCAAATTTTATTTATTCAAACCGTCTTTCTGTTACCCTAATTAGTATATAATTAAGAACAAAAGATGGCAATAATAACCCACTAATTAACTTAAGGTTACCTCTTTTAAACCCCAAGTAATTAGACTTATTAACATTAACCCACTAACTTTATAATTAAAGAAGGAATAGTCAAAAACGTCCCTTAAAACGTATAAAGAAATCCAACCCAGAATGAGATTACGCAACCTGCGACGGCCCGTCGTGCCTGCGACGGTCTGTCCTGCAGGTCGTCGCAAGGTTCAGAGACTGGATTTCCACTGAAGACTGTGACGTTCCGTCACGCCTGTGACGGTCCGTCCTGCCATTCCGTCACGAAGTTCAAAGAGTCGACTTTCAGTACCCAATTTCAGATTTTCTAAGTGTTTTGAAACGAGACCCTGCGATGGTCCGTCGTGCCCATGACGGTCTGTCGTGGGGTCTGTCGCCTCAGCCTGTTTCTCCAGAAATAAAATCTGCTGCTCAAAACGACTAAACAGGTCGTTACGCATAGCTAGTTCCATCTGTAGTCGTTTTGTTTGACTTTTCTTTAGTATTTAAACTCTCAGTTACCTATATTCTCATTTTAGTGTATAGGTAATCTCTATCATTTCAATTGTATCGTGATTTAGCTTGTGCACATTTTTCATTGTTTCAGCTTATCTCAAGTATGCCTATGATTATGCAAAAAGGGGTCTGTTTGGGTTTTGCAACTATAATTTCAAAAAAATTCAAACAAAAGTACTAAAAAAAATCACAATTAAACAACAAGTAAACAATCATAAACAAAGATCCAATAGATAATCTAACTTATGTTCACAAAATCACACCCTTAGAATTGGGGTTTAATCTTGACATATACAAGAGATAGAAATTTATATCAAAATGAGTTTTCATTCAAATGAGTATGTAGGTTTAAGAATCCATGGGTCTGATCCAAAATTTGGGAGATGAAACCCTTTGAATCTTCAAGTACTTCAACACCTTCTTCTAACTTATAACTCAAAAATAAAAGCTTAAAATTATTGTTCAATACTAAGGAATTCGATCCTAAGCTAAAAATAATAATGAGTATTTATATTATTAAAACGTTGTGGTGCGAATGATCACTCAACGCAGTTATTCGGAACCGCCAATAAATTCAGCGATTTTTCTAGCCTATAATATCTTCATAATTTCGATCTTTGAGAGACATAGTACTACTTAGTTGAACTACTCGGCAGCACGTCCAAGACACCATTTCTCTGCCGATGTGATCCTTCCCTTCTTGGCTCAGCTAAAAAAAGATGGTGTTACACCATGCTAAATAAAAGACCATCTACTATTATCTTTCAGAATAGAAAAATATTTATTGTTTAAATTATATTATTGTACAAAATTTTTATGGATCTTTAATACAGTATTTTATGTTATTTGGATATCTTCTAGAGCATTTCTAAATTCATAAAATCTATTGATAACTTTTGACACGTGAAAAAAGTATCATAACAATAGTTTTTTTTAATTAAATTATAAATATCTACAACCAGAAATTATTTTTATTGTCATTTAAATAACATTAAAAATTATAAACAATAAATATGTATAAGATGAAGTGAGGTTGTAAGACTACTTTATCGATGACAATAAGTAATGTTAATTTTAAAGTTATTAGCGAATACATGCTATACTCAATAAGAATTTTAATTTTTTTAGATAAGATATTTTGCACTTCAAGCTATCTGACATGAGTTTTATTTTCTTATTCAATATTCTTTTACTACTTTATCTTTCAACACTTATACATCAATTTCAATTGGCAATTATTCCATATCCTTTTCATTTTTATTTGAGTATATTATTTTGAATTGGCATTAAAATTGAGAAAATAAACTAACTTTTAAATCTTGTTTTGATAAATTAATGATATGTGAAATGTAACAAAATGCTTTTTATTCTTGTGATTTTATGCATGACATATGAAAAGACTTAGCTAAGAGCAGCCAAAAATAAAGAAAATATATAATATTTTTTAAACTGACCTAAAAAAGGTAATACAAACAAAATTAAAATAAAAGAAGTACTAAATACAAGTTCGTCCCATTCAATAACAAACATATTTGAAGGTTAAAATTGAAATCATAAATATAAGAAACATAATCATAGATATGAAAATCAAAACACTATAATACACAATTAAGTCATTGAATTTTAAATAAAGTTAAATATTTATTCATTGGATCCAGATAGCGCTTCATTGCAATTGGACGAACTGTTGCCATCAACTCTTAAAGGAGAAAGGAACATTCCAATAGGTTGATACGGAAATTCCGTATCATACTCCATAAGTTAGCTCACTACTCTTTCAACTTCTTCATCTGCAGCTTCCAAGAGCTCAATTAACTTTTTAAGGTCAGAAAAGTTGAGTTGTTCATATGGAAGTTCTTCCCTTAATCCTTGGAGAGCTTTTCCATGTTTTTTCTGTTTTTCATGTGAATTCTCCAACATGTTTAGTTCATTGTTGATCTCATCAACATTGACATTTTGATGAGATAAACTAGTGGAATTAGGAGCATCAAAGCCGGGTTGATTTTCTCCAAGAAACTTATCCACAATTAACTCAGTGGAAGGATGTCCACATGAATATACTTTGTTGCTAGATGAAAAAATCACAAAAGCAACATAAGCACCACATCAAGTACATAGCTCAGTTTCCTATATAAATAGGTCAATACGTCGTTTCGAGAATGTTACTTGTCTATTTTTTGAATTTTGTATCCTTGCAATTACAATTCTTTTGCGACCAATACTTACTTTCATGGATATATTTCTGGACTGAAAATATAGGAAAATGTGATGTTTGTTTTTTGTTCTAACCACCTATTTATAGCAAGAAAATCATCATATTATTTGATAAAAATAAACTCAAATAACAAAAATGTAAAAATATTTATGTTGATTTTCTTATAAGGTAGGATTTTTTAAAAAATCATTATATTTATTAAATTTCTTTTTAAGTTTATTTGTATCATTGACAATCTCTAACAATATTAATTACATATTACATATTTTCCTAATTAGATTGATGTTATTGAACTATTTATGAAGTTGTCATTATCTCATTCTTTTGTGACATATATATTAGCAAATTAATATATCAATTGATTAAATTTTATTTGGTATATTTTTTGTTATTGTATTTATAGATTTTATAAATTTTCTCTTGTTCAATCGTCTATATATCCTCATATAGTCATGCTTAATAAAAGACCTTCAATTTTTAGCATTGACAATATTACCTATTCATGTACAACATAATTTAGGCGCTTCAATTTAAAATTTTAAGTTATTTGTGCAACTTCTAGAGCATTTGTAGACTTGTAAAATATACTCGTAGCTTATGAAAAATGAAATAATATTGTAAATGTAAGGAAGCCTAAATCATATCACAATTTAAAATATATAAATCGATATTTGATATTCTCCTACACTTTATATTTCATTATCACATTTTTAACACAATAGAGTGAAATTTGTGTGTTGTCTATGGAATCACCAAATATTTGAATATGATACGATACATTATGAAATTGTAACATCCTTCCATAGAAATAGTTAACTTTAGACATCGCTAAATTGGAAATAGCGAATTTATCAAGTTTTTTTAAGTTGTGACTTTTTGGGTTAACTTCAACCAATCATAACTTTCAGTACATGGAGAGTTAAGTGGTACATAGTATACCGAGTAAAAGGTCTTGGAATCCTCTTTGCAATGCCATTGAGTTGTGTATGTTTTGAGTTTCAATGAGGGACATATGCTTCTTTTAAGTTATTATGACCATTTAAGAAAGTTTCCCAAGCTAGTGAGGGGTATTTTGGACTTTTCCTTACCCAATCATATTATAACGAATTCAGAAATATTTTTGAGTCATATCTGACATGGGTAAGTTTTACAATCCTTATTTAAGCTTTGGGTTTAATAAGAGAGTTCAAGAAGAATAAAAAATTAGAGAAAAAGAAAAACAATTAAGATCTCTTACAACTTGAGGAGTGATAAACGCGAAATTACACCTAATTTAATACTAGACATAGCGATTGTTATCTAGTATAAAACCCATTGATGTTTTGTTGTCAACCAGAGGGAACGGTACAAATTAGAATTCATCTATGTAGTTATAAATGTAATCTAGTCGGTTGTAGGAGCAATAATTGTAAAAAATATTGAAGGGAATTGAAGGGTTTGACAACGGCTGTCAGATGGGAGAAATTGGTTTGTGGATAAGAAATCATTTTAACTTAAGTGTCCAAGAAAACCATTTAGCCATCATGGGTATAAACGGCTCATACTTTTTAGATGATCATGTAAGTTAAGCTAGTAGATCCACTAAGTTAAGAAGTTCTATGCGTCATCAAAGTATAAGACACTTCTTGCAGCATGGGCAAGACGATGTATCACCAATAAGGCTCATAGTGGTGGTTGTCGGTTAGAGAATTTCCCCTAAAAATTATATTACTTACATATAATTAAATTTGAGTTTGATCTTGTATTTTCTTTAACAAACTAAATGTTTTCATTGCTTTATATTAAATGAAGTTATTCATTAGTTGAGTAGGGCCAAGGTAGCATTAGTTGTGGTTACCATACAAAATCGCATACTCGTACTTTCAATGTAATGATGCAAGTTTACATACATCGTATCATGATGGAGACACAGGTAACAAGGATCAATATCATCAGCCGCCTCGTTGATCCAATTAAGCACTCGTAGTAAGTGGTGAGTCTCCTTGTATTTTTGCAGATACATTTACTCTTTTTTTCAGTCTTTATTTTATAGGATGTTATGGGTCTGTCTCCACATCCATCTTAATATTTTAGAGGCTTCGTAGATAGTCAGACAGTTTAGTTTTGAGTCTCTTTCTCTTCTTTTTTTCCAGAGGTTTTTCTATGAGACATACTTGCCATTTTGGACAAGTTATTTATATCATGTTATTTTATGAGAATGTTTCTTATATTGATTTAACTGTTCGACTGATTTAACTATGTCAGGCCAAGGGTTCGCACAAGGACAGGAATGGTTAGTGAGTGCCGGCCACATACAAGGTGTAGGCTGGGGGGCATGACAGTAGGTAAGTTAGAGTTTAGATGCAAGTGATTTCTATCTCAAGTCTATTACAAGTCAAGAAATTTCTCGCGCAACTCAACAATATTAACAATATAAACAACCTTGAACCTTTATTTATCAACTCTCTCAAGCTATATTGGAAGAATCGAGTTTAGCATTCATTCTTTTAAGTTGAACCCACATCAATCCAAAAACTACAATAATTGATATAAATCCTTGGTTAGAAAACCTCTTTCTAAAGCAAGCCCAAAACTCAATGTTAGACTTGCATTTCTAAAAACTATTTATAGATTGATATATAACTATCGATTAAACCCACTCCAATTGTAACACCCCGAACCCAAAAACAGGCCATAATGCAGAATTTTCAGAACTTGCAGGTAACACCCGCGCTTGACACCCACAATCCGTATGGTGACACACCGCCTGTGCCATATGTTCATTATCAGCATTTGCAACCCCCTAGAACTCAGTCCTAGAATTCCGTTTAATGGTTGACCAACAGTCGAACCCACATACCTTAGGTTAGACCATGTACCGTGATCTGCATCCGGATCATACCCATAGAAACTAGCGTCCTGTCACGACTGACGATTGACAAGCACAGACTATCAGTTAATCGATAGTCATTCCATAACCTTGAAATCAGTTATACTAGGGGTGTTTTGGTCACTTCCTTAAGTGTTGAACCATTAAACTACGTCGTTCAACCCTAATGTATGTGTTTTTTTGTTTGTTTTAGCCTACAAACATAATAAGAATTTATCAAGGTTAGATCATTCATAACACTCAGAAACTTAGAAATTATAGGGGAGAAAGAGGCGACCAAACCCTTTCGAAGAATAGTACAAGTTTCATTAGTTCAAGCTCCAAAATAAAAAGATTTCCCCATAATTGTTTTCACTAGGTATGTATTATTACACTAGAGGATTCCTTTTACTCATTAAACCGCTATATTTCAGTCAAAATCATGATTCCAATAATGATAATCAACACCTAGGGTTTCTTGAATGTTAAAAATGTTGGGTTTTACCAATTAGAATGATCCAAATCGTATTATCATGAATTCATTATCAGTTTGTCCCATTTTCATGCATAAGCTCAAAACCCTCGTTATGTAGTTCTTCTAGTTCTTGAATTACACATGTTATTTTGTTATATAATAACCTGCCTCAGTTATCGAATGAATTATTATCAATATATAAATTCCCAGTTTTCATGTCAGGTTTTGAGTTATCTAGTGTTACAACATTTAATCCATAACATGTTCATTGCTTAATCATAGGGGAATCTCAATACCGAGTGGACTAGGGTAAGTCACCCCCAATTGACAGAATTACGTGCCCCATAGGATATAAGTCCCCTTTGTGCAAATCATCTTATTCATCATATCAACATGCCTATATATCTAAGGTAGGGTATATTGGGTTTTCTCTATAAATTGTATACATCGGACTTCACATTTAAGTTATTTAGTTTTAAGTCGTTTATTAGTAAGCTCCCTTACAGTTCACTCATATTCTATTAGATTTACCATGTTATCAGTATAGGTAAGTATTCAGTTTCTCCATATTATCAACTTTGTCATTGCTTTAAATTTAGTCATGTACAGTACTTTTAGTATCCTATTTATGTTCAAATCATTTTATTGATTAGATTCTTTCATTTAGTAATGTTATTGTTCAGTATCACTCTATCCTTCATGCTCGGTACGTTTTAAGTGCTAACTGACGTTCTTTAGTACATCTTCTCGTGATGTAAGTTCTAGTCCTCAGCATTCAGCTCACACATAGAGTGATTACCAATCATTAGTTCAACAACATTAATCGCGCGTCCTATACCTATGATGACTAGTGACATAACTATCTTTGTGTTGTTTTTAACATTAGTTTCAGTTTTTCTAGTTCTAGCTGGTGCAAGTCAATTGGACAATCTAATAAATTTAGAGGCTTATTTAAGACATAGGTAGTTCCATCCTTAGTCGTTTTGTTTGACTTTTCTTTTGTATTTCAACTCTAAATTATCTATATTCTCATTTTAGCGTATAGGTAATCTCTATCATTTCAATTATATCATGATTTAGCTTATGCACATTATTCATTGTTTCAGTTTATCTCAAGTATTCTTACGATTATGCAAAAAGGGTTATCTTGGGGTTTGAAACTACAATTTCATAAATTCAAACACAAGTACTTAACGAAATGATAATTAAACAACAAATAAACCATCAACAAGCAAGATCCAATAGATAATCTAATCCATGTTCACAAAATCACACCCTTAGAATTGGGGTTTTATCTAGACATATACAAGATATAGAAATTTATACAAAAATGAGTTTTCATTCAAATGGGTATGTAGGTTTAAGAATCCATGGGTCTGATCCCAAATTTGGAGATGAAACCCTTTGAAACTTCAAGTACTTCAAAACCCTCTTTTAACTCATAACTCAAAAAATAAAATATTAAAATTATTGTTCAATACTAAGGAATTTGATCCTAAGCTAAAAATAATAATGAGTATTTATATTATT